TATTGTTGATCAATAGTACAGTTAGCAATCTGCCTTGAGTGGTAAATCTATCCCTCTATCAGCACTTAGGTGATGGTGATTAAGGTCGGACACTGCCCGCTTGGACACTCCAGAACTGAAGAAAAGCCTGAAGAACCAACAGGTGGTTTCATTCTGTATTAGCTACATGATTTCTAGTCATCCTATTATGATAGAACAAAATTCATTGTTTCTTCCTTTTACTACAAGGAGTCTAACATTTTTTTGCTAGTTTATTTACTGTGGTTGTAATCACACGTTTCGCCTCTACAGTACATGATTTGAGCATGTTTGGGTTTCAGCTGATATCTCAACCTCTAAGCTTGGGCAAGATCCTGGGGCTGAAGAGAAACACGGTCTAGTCGGTTGGACTGAGGAGGATGTTGAAGATGGCAGATGGGTCGTATACAATAAAGGTGCTCATATCACACAAATTGGGGTTTACCTATTAATTCTCCACCTTATATCCCAGATAGGCCTAAAAGCTTGAAGATTTTGCTTTACAATTTCTCCATGTAAATCTTATTTAATTTCTTTGCTTCCATCACACTTCCTAGTTAAGGTAAAGAAGTGGATAAAGAAAAGGTCAAACACAGCCGCGAGCATTCGTACTACGAAACTCTAAATCTGATTCCTGGCAAAGTGCCTCATTAAGACTATCTTATTATCTAAAACCGTTAGGCGTTAACTTGTCATAAATATTTAAATATCTGTTCGCAGCGAGATAATTGACACAACCGGTAAATGTAATCCTTTTGGAACACCCCATTAGAAAACTGCGAGTGATTAGCTGTGAGTAATAGTATTTGGTAAATAGGTTATTTCTGCGTGAACATTTTAAATGTATGCCTTTGACTTAATACAAATTTCTCTTTATGTCCTCTTTTAAACACTGCATTTCGTGAATACATGAATACCTTGATTTCAGATAGGTTGCTATACTAATCTAGAAGCATACTCTAGTGCCTGGTACAGTGTTAATGGCAGCTACTTCACGTATCTATATAATAGATGTTCATCGTATACGTTCGCATATAGATTTATCTCAGCGTGGGTAATCATCTAGTGCGCTCAAAAAGATTGATTATAGATTCACTTTGCCAATTTACCTGGTCACATGTAATGATCGAAGAACTTCATCCGAATTTTCTAAAACTAGTTATCACTTGTCCTTTATAAAGTTTTCGCTGCAGAAGAACGGATCTGCTGTATGCTATAAATAAGCATGATCAGCACGAATTTTTGGGAGAGAAATCAGCCAGTAATTACATTTTCGCGCTACGAAAAGGACTGCTCATTGTTATTAAGTATAGTTGAAACATCGGAAAATTTTCTCAAATGAACGAATATCGAATATTTGTTCATAATAAAATATTCGAACGAATGAACATTATTCAAATCGTTATTCAAAATATATTCAAACTCGAATGTTCGAATAGTGAGGGCCTTTTGTATTCGACTATTCGAATTGTCGAATATTTGCGTATGACAAATTATTCGAACAAATGACAGAAACATTTGTTCGAATATTCGGTCAAACCCAAATATTTTTTTTGAATGTCCGACTATTCGAATGGCAAAAATCGAACTATTCGACTATTGCAGTCAAACATAACTACGCAACCTCAATCATATTCGATGATTTTGCAGATATTTGATCGAACAAATTTTCGATGATTTCGCAGACATTCGAACGATCGAATATTATTCGAATCGCAGTTCCAAAATCATTCGAACACGAATATTTGAATGTCGATGTTACAAAAATATTCTACTGTTCGAATAATCGAATAAATGCGATTTTCGAATATTTGAATTATTCGAAATGCTCGAATATTTTATTCGAACACCAATATTTGGTCCCAACTGTAATATACGGATCAGAATTAGCGGTGCTTTTTAATACCCTCATTTAAAGTAGTGAATCTGGAACTCCAGAGTGAATAAACCAGTTCTTTCTCGCGCTTTGCATAGACTCTTGTTTTATTTCCTTGTCAAAAAGAAGAAAATAATTTTGCGGCAAAATTAGTTGTCAAAACAATTAAGCTCAACTGCAAGACGAAATCGGGTTTTCGGCTATAGTTCTGAAGCATAAAGGTCTTCATTGTACATCCAGATCTTCATAAATGTCCTTCCCTATTGTCTTCAAAAATAACATTAAGCTAAGAATAATTCGTGCGTTTATTTTAGTTGCTTTTGACATTCTGACAGCCATACGACTCACATTTATAGTTTTGAACATTAATGAAAATGAGACAATGTGCTAAATACGATGTTATGAAAAGTTGTAAGCTACAATACGGAAGAACTAGAATCACTCCATGATGATCTTCATACCGAACCCAAGAAATCTCTTTGAATGCAATGCAGTCCTCTAATATGAAAATGTTAGAAGTGTTCAAAATTTGTATTCACCTTCTACTGCAAACGATTCAATAGAATTACCCCATTTTTCGCTTATTTTAGTTACAATCTGGCTGCGCAACAAATGATTATGATAATATACTCACAAGGGAATGCTTTTTACTCGAAGTGGCCATTCAAAACAAGATATATTTCATAATAACAAGTTGGGTATGGGAAACTCCAATCTGTTTTCCATATCTGCGAAACGGTTTTCCTGGAAGAAGATATGGGCACTTGTTTCTATGAGGCCACCTGCAATACGGAGTACTTGCGCAACTAGCTTAGTTGGCAGTTGGCAGGCGCAGTGGTAAGTGTCTTGGTTTGCAGTTGCGCGATGCAGGTTCGAGTTTTTTCGTCGTCGAACATTTTGCGTTTTTTGCAATAGTATATTTGCTTGATATATCTTGAAAAAACACTTAATTTTACTATATAATAGTCACTGAATGTTATATCATGATAAGAGCATTTCCCTTTCCAAACTACTGCTCAGTTTTGCTTTCTTCCTGGTCTCATATGATGTTGCAGTGCAAACTATTGCGACGAAGAACATCTCCTTCGATTCGCTGACTATGAGCAGCTTTTATGACTAACTCTTTGTAGACGACTACCACATATGTTCATGGTGCAAATAATATCAA